TTGAATGGGATGACCTAATAGTTATCCAGTTCGAAAGCGGCTCACTAATACTGCAGCACCTGCACTTGAACTTGCTTATGTTATCAGCCGTCGCATAAATATGTGGCGAACATCATCACAGGGAAATATACGAATTTTCTTTTGGGCGCAAATCAGTTCTGCTATGGGAGCTGCTGTCCTAGAAATTCCAAGGAAATTATTGCCGAGCGCTGTCTCTCTGAGGAGTCCAAGAGAAGTGATCATGGATTTGTGTTCGTTTACTCCTTATTTTTTAAGGTTAACATTCATTATGTCGATGAAAAGGGTCGCGTAATGGATCAAAAGGATGCTTACCGGGAACTCTCTTACAAGTGAGTTGGATTTCGTTGATATCAATTTTCTAAAAGAATTTGATCCAATGTGAGTGTTTCTCTAGGTTCCATGGTCGCAATCCTGGCAAAAAGCAGACGGAGAAGCGAATATCCAGACGAGATAAGAAAGAGATGTTGAAGCAGGTTTGTTTTTCGATATAAATCTTTGTTAGAGTAATATAAGCAGTATGATGGTTGCTTGGGAACTGTTTCTTCACTTCCTCTATGTTTTTTTTCTTCAGATGAACAGTTCTGATACTCCTCTCGGTACGCTGTCAAAGCAGTTAAGAAAGCAGGAGCTCCTGCAAACGCCCTACCTTGTACTCAGTGGATCAGGACGAAGTGACCAGTACGTGACTGTTTTATGTAGAGTTAAGCACATTCAAAGACAAACTACATTCACCTCAGTGAATCCTGATCGTTGCCGTGTGTAGGGAGAATGGGCCCGCAGCTGCAGTAGCGTTCCACTTTCTCCCGTCCAAAGTGCGCGAGACGGGGCTGGAGGTTAGTGATACCGGTCTCCATATTCTGTCCGTCTCCACATCGAGCAGCTCCGACAACGTCGCTACGGTCTAGGACATCATCTTCACCGCAGTCGCCAAGGCGCGGGTTGATGGTATGGACCGGACGTACCTGGAATGGAAAGACCAATATTTCTTCGTGGACCCCGGACTGAAGGTGAGCGCTGGCGGTTACATCGAGCAACTCGGGAAGAATATCCTCGTCACATGCCGTAGCCCGTATCTTCTCGGAAACTTTGTACTGCTACAGCATTGGGTGCCACCACATGGAATCGAAGGGCGTTGGAGAAACTCTCGCCTACTTGGAATGGAAGGGGCTGAGTACCTAAAGAAGATGGAATATCCAAGTAGGTCACCTGACCTGAATCCCCTCAATTACCCGGTTCGGGCGGAGTTCAATAGGGTGGTCTACGGTGGCGGAGAAATCGACTATCTCGCTGATCTCAGGCACCACATCGCGTGCCAGAATCTCTCGATGGCGCTCGTCCAGAAGGCTGTGGCGGAGTGTCATGATAGTATTTAATATGCTCTTCAATATGGTGGTAGAAATGTCCGATCAGAATTTAATAAAGTGTAACTTATAGCGCCTCGAAAGTCAATGAAGAAAAGTGACTTTTTTGGCCCCCTGTATAGGCGGTAAAATGAGGGTATAAGGCTAATACCGCGCACAGTTGATGTCGAACAATGAGGGTGAGTAATAAAAGACCACTTCGGAGGGAAAAGCTGGAAATACGGCTCGCGAGGAAGACTCATGGTAAGGAGTCAGGGATAAAAGGGGAACCATTTGAAACCAGAGATTGTGCGCATTGAAGTGCTGCGAAGAAGGGGCAGCAAAAATTCATAAAATGTAGTTGGTCACAAATGAAGGAATTTGGTGGGCATATGTATTTCATCTAGGTTCTACATTTGGTTTCTTAGGGAAAGGGAGGGACAAAGAGAAAAACACTAATTCTTATAATTTCTGTAAAAATAGATCGAGATGAGAGTTTTGACTAATCCAATCATTTCAGTACGTCGTTGAAGAAGGATTAAAAAGAGCTCACGGTCGCTTGTTTCCGCGGACACCTCTGTATGTTCCATGTGGTTGTACAATCGGTTGATTAGCATGTCTTAGTATCATTTTTGATGTTGTGGTTCTAACTTAACGTCACAAATCGAGAATTTTATTACTCTCAGTTAATTCCATAGGTTTTTATTTACTATTGTGGACCATAAAATTCGACTTCAAAATACATTTGCACCACGCGGAAGACGCTTTTCTTGAATTGTTACCCTTCCTGTGATGATCTGTGTAAAGTGTGTGCGCTGACTCGATTATACTGTTTTCTTGGGTGTTTCTAAACATATTACACTTGCTGCTTCTGAAGAGATGTACCCGTTCAGTTGACTTAATCCATTTGTTCCCTGCCTCGATGGTAGTGGTCCCAGTGATTGAGAGAGAAGGGGGCGCAATTCGGCAACGAAGATAATTTTGCTCTTCTGCTGTTTCCTATCGACGTGTCGTGCCATCTGGGGAGCTATTTCATGAGCTTACAAGAGCTGATAGGTTCTACCGTGGCGGCTCAACGCGCTTGTCCAGCACAGTAGTTCACAGGTTTTAACAGAGTACGGTATGCAAACCGGAAGTCAGCTGAGCAGTGAATGTGCCCTGAAATAACGCAACATACAAGGGAAAGAGCATAGTAATCGACATAGAAGTAAAGGAAATCGCAGTACAATCCCAGTTCTCAGAGCTAGTACAATTCAAAATTGTTCAGAATAACTCACCTTCCACTTTAGAAGCTTGAACAGCTGAAAAAGTGGGAATTGTTCCTCCTTCTCCTTCCTCCCTTCCATACTTGTGTTAAGCACTTCAAAGGCAGGTGGTACGATAAATTCCTAAGACGAGTAGGATTAATACGCCAGGCAGGAGAAACTTCCGGATCAGGCGCTGCACAGCGCCTTTCCCAAGAAAGGCACCCTTATAAGGACACTATTAAAGGCAGTTGGCACGATGGTTTCCTACTTAGCCTAAAATGCTAGTAGGGCGCTGTATAGTGGGGAAATGGCGAAAGAACGGAGTGAAACGGTCAAAATCCTGCGAAGAAAAAGCCTCCGTTCTCAGTGACTTGTAAATCGATTTCGGACGAGTTTCCCGTACGCATCTTGCCAATCACCGCTACCGAAGGTACGGCTGCATATGTGTACCCATATATGCATGCAGCATCACCGCCGCTTCATACCAATCCCTTTGCTTCATAATTTGCTTAGCAAATGAATCGATTAGAGCGTCAGAAACGGTCGTCCGTTTGTGGGCGGGCGGGCAAGGAAGGCGTTTGGGACGTAAAGTTGTTGCTCAATAGGGCGTTATAGAGGTACCCTCCTTGGAAAAGGCTTCACGCAGCGCCTGTCCGAGGTCACGGAATTCTGTTGAGCCAGTTGTACAAATCCTACACCTGTATAGCGATTTATCGTGCCAACTACCGCTCCGAGCACCCACCACGCCCACAAACGGACGACCGTACCTGAAGCTCGCATTGTTTCATTTGCTAAAATATGGAGCGAAGATTGTTATGAAGCGGCTGCCGTGCTGTATGGATACATGAGTACATACATGCAGCCGTATCCACCGTAGCGTTTACTAGCAAGATGCCTACGGTGGATACGGGGTACTCGTCCGAAATCGCTTTCTGAGCCATAGGAACGAAGGCTTTTTTCGCAGGCTTTTGACCGTTTCACTTCGTTTTTCGCCATTTTCCCACTACATAGCGCCCTGCTAGCATTTCAGGTCGAGTACCAAACTATCGTGCCAACTGCTTTGAATCAAAGTCGTCATCCGGGCAGTTGATTATCCGGCCCAAGTGACGCGACGCGGCTGCAGCGCGTCACGATCGCTGCGATCAGCTGTTTCCACCCTAATTTAGCAATTTTCTCCCTAGTTTTCACTGTTTTTGGCTGTTTTTTTCAAGGTCATTTGCTTTATTGCCTATATGAAGTATATCGGAACGTGAATTTTTTTTGTTCTTGTAATGGAGTGTAATGGAGTGTTTTTCGCGATTTTCTTAGGTGTTTAATTGTTTGTTTAATCGTCTGATTGTTCGCACAAGTTAAAGAAAAACCCCAATCGTAATTTAGCTTTTGAAGACAAGAAACAGCTAACCCTTAAAAAAGCAGCCAAAAACAGTGAAAAGTAGGAAAAAATGACTAAACCAGGCCGGAAACGGCTGATCGCCGCACACAGTTCCTACGTACGCGGTCGCTGCTGCAGCCGCGTCTGCGGCCCCTTGACGACCGCCCTAATCAACTGCCCGGATGACGAGTGTACTTCATTACATTTCTTACCATTTCCTGTACTGCCAAGAGGCTCAGCGTTTGAACTCTTTCCTTTAGCCCTCGCGGCAGCAACAGATTCAAAATCAACGATTGCTTGTTGTTTTACCACCGATAATGTGTTATGTGTAGCCGCAATCGAACCAGAGGAATGAGGGGGACCAACGGTTCAGAGTGAAGGCGTCTTTCAAGTATAGTTGGTGTCTTCACCAAGTTGGGTCATCCGCACTACCGCTTTATTAGCGCTCTCTCTCAGGGAGGAGTGGGAACTCACACTGCCGTTGTGAGTTACCACTCCCTCACAATGCGGAGTGGTATGCGTTGAAAAGTGTGAGATACGTCTCCTAGAGATGTCAATTTTATCCTACACACATCAAGCACCACAAAACATTTGAAAATAACAATATAAAAAATTGATCAAGGACCTCTATTTACAAAATATTAGTCACATATAGACTTTTATGCACTTGATGGTATTAATTATCTGACGAGGAGACGCTATTCAGGATTTAATTATCGACTCATCGAGTCACTCTGGAAGGTGCTACGGTCGAGACTTTGAGACCACATATCAGTTAGCAATGGAGTTAGAATAATAAGTTAAGCGAAGCTGTGTTATAATGACAGATTTACGAAGACAATCATCATTCAAGCCAACCTATAATATTCCGTATGAGCAATGGAAAGTGCACTTGGTAATAGAAGGCTACATCATAGAACTCTGACTCACGTAATAATCAATAAATGACACAGTTTTTGATTTCACAAAATAAAACAAACTTTGGGAAATAATGTGACAAACAATGGATGACAGAACAATTCAAACTCGCAAAATTTCTAATCGATTCGCGTAGCAAATTGAAATCCAATCGGGAAACGTCGTTGACCAATGTATTTGGTTAACCTGAAAAAATACCCGCGTTACTATACCAAGGGTAAACACGCGCATGAATCCTTTTCTACACATACCCTACCTAAAAAATACCAAGTTATTTTAACACATGACAGCTATTTAAAACATCTTATCAGGAAGGGGGGGGGTGTCTACCCACACTTGGCAGCAGCCTTTTTTTGAAGTGGATCGGCCTTCCTTTTCAGTGATTAACGTACGTCCGTGCGCAACACCAGGTGCGTTTTGGACCTGCCTTCGTTAAAATAGGATCATACGATCTTTGAGATTTCTTGGGGCCTGTGGTATTCGTAAGTTTGCATATTTCAGCAACATCGAGTCAGAATCAAACATGAAGGTTCGCAGTTCCATCGGAAACCAAAAGCGGCCCCACTAGATGAGTGAATTCAAAGCCAAGAAACTCGTTATATGTAGGTCAGGATGAAATAGCACAGCCTTTGCAGGCACATCTTTTCTACGTTTGAATCACCACGGCCCAAGCCATGCCCATGACTACTCGAAGCGATGAGTCAGTTCCATGAGGCATTATCTTCTGTTGAGGCATATCATGGCGAAACACTGCGGTCGATTTGTGTGAGGGTGAAGGCATGTTGAATAGGGCAAGAGAGGCCACTCCGCCTTTGTCTACGTGCTGCTTAGAGGCCCAAGGGTTAAATTCATCGGCACGAAGAACGATTCTGTGCTGATCTAGGTCTTGGCTGCGAGAAATCGCCCAACACACGGCGCAAACACCCTCGAACGCCATTTTTTAGAATCCAAGCTCACATTTTGGATGGATGACGTGTCAGCGCATCCAAACATGTACTGAGTGGAAGAATCGCAACTGAATGGGACGGCGGAATTGCCAGCGAACGTTCAAACGTTAGATACATAATTGAGAGAGCTAATATAGAGATACAACAGATCGGAGAGAGGGAAGAATGAGAGAAGAAGAAGAGAGAATGCGTAGCGCGAGTGGGTGTCGCTGGCGCTGACGCGGCTCCCACGATTCCTTCGTTTGGGCGGATCATCAAAATCGATTAAGTTTCTTAGTTTTTTGGGTTTGGCAACGGATTCAACCAAAGGCGTTGTAACATTCTCCGAATCGAATATGTATATTCGTTTTCGACGGTTCCCCAGGATAGACGGTGGTCGGGACGCTGGAGATTGGATTCAACAGTAATATCCGAAAAAGTGAAAAGGGTACTTGCAGCATATGGAAGCATAGTAACTATCAGTGGAAGGTGGATGATCGAAAGTACTTATGAATATTGAATAATTCTACTAATCCCGAAAAAAGAAGTGGTGAAAATGAAAATTGATATGATTAGTGACTTTCACTAACTTTTTGCTTTGCTTTGTAGAACTGCGAGAAAATGCAGAGAACAGGAAGAAAGGGATGACAGGAGTCTTTGATCTAACGTCGAAGCCCTCTATTGAGCGTACTCAATTTTAGCTTCATTTTTCTGACTATACTTCACAATTCTCTTCAAATACAAACGTTGCAATTGCACATTGTGGTTATTAGCTTTCGATTACAAACTTAAAGACGCCAGATGATTCCCCGGGAAGAAAAAAAGCAAAAAAAAATCATGGAAGACACCCTGAGAAAGGACTTCGCGGCCTCTCTGGACTAGTTTTCCGGACCTGCTTGTTTTACGCCAGCAAAACAATACCTTGCCACCACTGCTTCACCAATTGTTTCTTCTCGTGATCCAATGCTAATACCATCTGACGGAAAGAAAACGAAAAACGGGGTGGAAAAACTGAGCTTGTTACGGAAATTGCTTTTTAGTTTCGGTGGGCGGGACAACTAGGGAGGCGTAATCTCTCGTCAGTTCTTCGACCATTCAACGTTGAGCATGAATCATTAGCACATCCGACGGCAGATAAAGAATTAGGAAGAGGCTGTGACGGATCTCATAAAGGAACAAAAGGGAGCTGAACTCAGACTCCAACGAACGATACCGTTTATAACTATTAACTTACTTCGCCTGCTGCTTGATATGCCAAAATCGGGTCGAGAATCGGTCGTGGTATTTCATGAACATCCCATATCAATGCTTGGGCATCATCAGCTGCAACATATCCTACTGTCTGACAAAACGTAAATATAAATAAGTGCAAAGAAAGTGCAAACAAACCCGCTGTGCATATATGGGTACTGGAATGAGGTGCCCATGACAAGCCGTTAACGGGAGCACGGTGATTAGCTAGCCTTGCTACTGGATGACACGGAATCCGCATATCCAAGATTATCACCTGATAAATAACTGCATACTACTGAGAGATTGATAATAATGCAATTCACAATATCTATACTCTATTCTATAAAGCAGTAACTTCGTGTCGGTTTGTCGGTCTGTATGTATGTATGTGTGTATGTATGTATGTTGTCCGTCCACAAAATGCTTCTATAGCTTTAGATCACCTAATTCTTATCACGCGTCGCAGCAACGGTAGGAAGTCAATTTCAAAAGATGATATGGGAAGGGATGGGAACACTATCGGTGTGTGACAGAACGTTATCACAGCTGATAAGATCCGATAAGAGGCTATAGATATACAAGGGAAAAATCGGGAAATTCATAGCGCCACAGCCGATAAGATCCAATAGGAGGCAACAGAAAAGAAAATTCGGAAAATTCATAGCACGCGTCACAGCAACGGTAGGAAGATAGTTCCATCAGACGATATGAGGGATAGAACGAAAACATCAATGAGTGGTGACAGGAAGTGATAACAGCTGATAGGGGCTGATATTGACTGTTGCCTTTCTTGTGCAGTCAAAATGCTGAAGCCTTAACAAGACTACATGCATTGTACGCATGTAATGATGTCAAGCGAGACAGAGAGGGGGGGGGGACAAGAAAGTCATAAAAAAACAGGGAAAGTCAGTTACTAATTAATTCTCAATGCAGATCACACATTCTGCGGGGGACACTTTTTACTTTCAAGCTTCTAATTACCGATGAAAGCGATAAGTAGGATGAAAAATGTACAACTAATGTAATCCAAATATTAGCACCTGCAATCAGTGGTATCTACTTACTCATCGCTCGAAAAGGGCTCATTCAGCTAGGCATTTCGATGCACGTATTGGGAAAGGAATTTGTTCGATCGATGTCCGATCCGACTGGTCATTAATAAGACATCACTAGAGCGCTCGGCTACGGGCAAAAGTTTTGATCCTAGGCGGGATTCGACCCCATAACTCACGCTTACCGTGCGACAGTGTTAGCTGCGATTCCCTGTTACTACGACAAGAGCTCCTAGTCACCAGGTAACAGGGTTAGATAACAAAAAAAAAAAAAAAAAAGAAAAAATAAAAAAAAATGCCTTGGCCAAGCTACTCGTGATCACCACGTACTAACACGGCACGACCTGCCATTGGAAAAATTCCAACCTCCTCCTCATTCTACAGCTCCTACTACCTCTCCCCAAGAGAAGGCCCGTTGAGAGAAGGGAGGCGGAATATCACCG